CTTTGATCCCGCTCTCTAGTTTCAAGATGATGCATCCTAATCTGCAGTGGATGTTTCATGGCAGCTTACTTCTACCACTGGGGCAGATTCAGGGACAGGAGAGCAGATGGCAGCTTTGGGGACCCTTTTCCCCAGTCATCCCCAGGCTGAACTAGCTCCAGGACTGTGAGCCTAAGGGGCCAGCAAAACAGAGAAGTTCCAGGAGACAAACCTCCCTTCTTTCCAGGATACTTCTAGCTGAGCTCTCCCTGGCCAACCAATCAGCTCATGGCAATCAGGGAACCCCAAGATATAAGGGTAGGACTTTTTGTAGTAAGAAATCAATCATTATATAGAATTTATTATAGTATATAAAGTCCATTCTAAAAGCCTTATGGGCATTGACTCATTTACAGTTACAACAGATCTTTAGAAAAGAGGTGTTACGTTTATTTTACAGGTAGGAAAATGTACACACTGAGAGTTTCCTAATGAGTCCAAGGTCTGGCTGATTGGTGAGGGGGCAGAGGTTCTCACAGAGGCAGTCTGGCCCCAGCCTCTGTGCTCTCATCACCCCGACTCTGCCTGTCTGCTGGGACCTGGGCCTGCTGTCCTGACAGCTGGGAGGGGGTGGGCCTGATGCTGTGGCTGGAGATCTGAGAGATGGACAGAGTTTTAGCTAATGATAATAGATGGGCTTGAGGGTTATGGGATAAATACACCTGGGTCAGCTTAGCACATAACAGGAACGCTAAGAAAACAAAACTAAGAGGTCTGCAAGTCTACTGGTCATTAAGACCGATGTGGGACAAGTTTCTTGCAAACTGCCTCTGAAGCACAGAACAATATAGAAGCACCAGGCTGAAACCAGTCATCTGGGTTCTAGTCCAAGCTGGATAACCAAGGCAACGTGTGCTGGCCTTAGCAAGCAATGTAGTGCATCGGGTCATTTGTTCTCATAAAGTGGGAGAGAGAGAGAGAGAGAATACTCACCTGTAAATTTGTACCAGCTTTAAGATTGATGAGTTTTAGTGACTTAGGAATCAAATGGAGGCAAGCAGAATAGATTTGCATATATCACTCAGAGTCATGAAAGGGAAATAGGGATGACTAAGAAAGTTTAATGAAAGGCTATTTGAAATTAGAGCTTCCTTAGTGACTCAGATGATAAAGAATCTGCCTGCAATGCAGGAAACCCAAGTTTGATCCTTGGGTTGGGAAGATCCCTGGGAGAAGGGAATGGTTACCCACTCCAGTATTCTTGCCTGGATAATTCCATGAACAGAGGAGCCTGGCGGGCTACAGTCCATGGGGTCACAAAGAGTTGGACACAACTGAGTGAGTAACACATCTGAAATCAACCAATAAGAGATGGTGACAATCTCCACCCCCACTCTCCTCCTAAGGCAGGAAAATGTTTCAGCCGGAGCTCACAAGAGGTGAGGAAGGAAGCTCTTATTGGAAACTGTGTTGTAGTTGCAGTTGGAGTGCAGGAGAAGGGCCACGGGGCAGGACCCCAGGCCTTTAGTAGAGGGAAAAAGTCACTGTCAGAAAGGGAAGTGGCTCCTCTCCTTCCTCCTGCAGGTTCTCCCACTGACCAAACCCAGTGGAAGCCAGAGGGCAGGGGACCTGGATGATGACATTGTTGGAGGTCAGCCTTCAAAGCAGGAATCTGCAGGGCAGAGGCTGGAGCTGAGAGGCAAACAGAAATATCTAGCATAGGGTTCACCCCGTGATCTTCAGAGGCTCACCCAGGATGAGAAGAGGTCTTGATCTCCCCACCTCCATTCCCATCTAGGTAGAGTTTGCTTTGCCCCCAGTGTGATCATGCTGCTCTGGAGTAGCCCCAGAAAAGCCTGTCTGACTGCAGATGATCTCAGTCTGCTCAGGGTCAGCCAAGGATAACCAGACTGGACACCACTGAGCCCCTGCTCCCTCCCACTCTCCTTAGCACTTACACCAGATGTGCCTTAGATATCAGACCATGGCCATCAATGAGACACAGAGAGAGAGAGAGAGAGAGAGAGGAAGGGAAGAGAGGAGAGAGCAGGCGAGGGGACGAGAAAGGAGGAGAGAGAAAAAGAAAAAGAAAGAGAGAAAGAAGAAAGATAGTCACCAGTTACCCTCCCCTCATAAAGAAGCTGTAAAGGAAAGCATAAAAAACAATGTTTAACCATAATGAAATTATTTTTGTAGCATCTTCCCACCTGATGGAAGAATTCTAGAATTCAGAAAGGATAAAATAAATGCGCCATTTTTAGTCATAACCATTGTTCCTTTAAAATCTGTATACTAGGAGCTTTACACCTGTCACACTATTTAACTCTCACCACCACCACCACTGTTATTATCCTTTTTACGAAGTGAGAACCAGAAGCTCAGAAAGGTCATACAGTGGTGAAGACAGATTTAAATCACAGCATTGTCCTGGCTCCCCCCACACAGTGATAAGACTAGATTTAACACAAGGAGCCCAGTCCGTTGCTCTGTGATGACCTAGGGGGATGGGTAGGGGGAGGGAAGGAGACTCAAAAGGGAGGGAATATATGTGTAATTATAGCTGATTTACATTGTTTTAGAGCAGAAACCAACACAACATTGTAAAAATTAAAGAAAAAAAACAACCACCACCACCACTTAAGCTTCCTGTTTATTTCACCCTCACTGAAGAAGTCTATCCCCATATAAGTACTCTTTGTAATGCAGCATGATCAATCCCTCTGATCAGTATTAAGCAATTTAATACTTAGGAACTTAGGTGTAACCTAAGCTGAGCAACAGTGAAAATCTGATTCAGCAGAACGACAATCCATTTTATTTTTCAAATAATTCTTCCAAAATAATTTCTGAGTTTTTAAAATTGTTTCCACACAGACAACTGTTTATCTTCTTGGTGAGTTGAGTTTGCTGTTGGAGTGACCGTCACAAAGTGCCACAGGCGGGGTGGCTTAAACAACAGAAATTTATTTTTTCACAGCTCTGAAGACTGGGAGTCCAACATCAGAGTGCTAATAGGCCTGGTTTCCTCTGAGACTCTCTCCTTGGCTTTCAATGACCATCCTCTTGCTGCCTCTCTTCACTTTCCACTGCGAAAGTGAAATGAAAGTGTTAGTCACTCAGTCATGTCCAATTCTTTGGGACCCTATGGACTGGAGCCTGCCAGGCTGCTCTGTCCATAGGATTCTCCAGGCAAAAATACTGAAGTGGGTGGCCATTCCCTTCTCCAGGGGATCTTCCCAGCCCAGGGATCAAACCTGGGTCTCTTGCGTTGCAGGCAGATTCTTTACCATCTGAGCCACCAGGGAAGCCGACCATGAGCGTGTGTCTTTGTGTCAGTCTGTGTGTCCTAATCTCTTTTACGAGAACACTAATCAAACGGGATTCGAGCCCACTGTAATCACCCTTCATTTTACCTTGTATGTGTGCGGTGTGTATGTGTGTGTGTTTGTTGCTCAGTTGTGTCTGACTCTTTTGAACCCGTGGACTGTATGGAATTCACCAGGCAAGAATACTGGAGTGGGTTCCCATTTTCTCCTGCAGAATATCTTCCTGACCCAAGGATTGAATCCAGGTCTCCTGCATTGCAGGTGGATTCTTTACATCTGAGCCACCGGGGAAGCCCTCATTTTAGCTACCTCTTTAAAGGCTCTATCTCCAAATACAGTCACATTCTAGGGCACTGGGGGCCTTAGAGGGGCTTCCCAAATAGCGCTAGTGGTATAAAGAACCTGCCTGCCTATGCAAGAGACACAAGAGACTCAGGTTCCATCCCTGGGTCAGGAAGATACCCTGGAGGAGGGCATGGCAACCCACTCCAGTGTTCTTGCCTGGAGACTTCCATGGACTGGGAAGCCTGGTGAGCTATAGTCCATAGGGTTACAAAGGCAGTTGAGCATGCACACACACTAGGTTAGAGCTTTAACATATAAATTGGGGGTCGGGGGACACAATTCTGTCTATGACAATGAATACCCATTGATTAATTCATTCAGCATCTTCCTCAGTAGTTTCCAAATCTGATTGTTTACAAGAATTTCCTGAATAGTTTATTTAAATAGTAGAAGCTAGGCTTCTCTCCAGACCTACTGAGTCAGAAACCTTGAATATACAACCCAGGTATTTGTGGTTTTAAAAAATCTCCCCAGGGAATTCTGAGATGGAGCCTGGGTTAAAATGTCCAGGGTTAAGTATTCTAGAAATAACACTGTGCTCCAGGCATGCCTTAAATGCTGTCTGCATATTAACTCATTTAATCCTCACCCTGAGCTATAAGGTAGGCACTTTCATTCCCCCCATTTTACAGATGAGGATGCATAAGTACAGAGGAGTTAAGTTACTTGCCTGTGGTCACAGAATTGGTCAGTGTCAGAACTGGAATGTGAACCCAGGCAGTCTGGCTCCAGAGTCTGGGCTCCTAAACTCAATTGCTTCTCTCCCACAGATGGAGTGTTGACCTCAGTCAACCAAGTATGTGGCCCAAGTGAGATAAGAACTTGAACTTAGGAATCATCAGCTGTTGTTTCACACTGATAACTGCGACTGCATGCTGAAATATTTTGTGTTTTAGAAAGAATAAGCAAAATTGTAAATGCTGACTGAGTATAACCTGTACATTTAGAAGGTATGACACATATTCCAAGTAGTGAAGCAATTTGAAAGCACTCGAAGTTTGTGCAAAATGAATAAAGAATAAGCAGTGGAGAACTTTGCTTCTTAGAGTGAACACAAAGGGATACAGGTCTGGTGAATAAAATAAGCCTGAGGTTTTGCTTTCTGCATTCCCTTTCACCCTTCAGAAGCACTAAGATAGGGAGGAGGGAGAGAAGAGACAGAGGTCTTCCTCCTACCTGCCTTCCTGGGCCTTCTTACCTATCATCCTGGCTTCTTTCCCATAGATCTCTCCCCTAGTAAATGCAAAGGGCATCTGGTCATTTGGAGGCCTTCAGCAGACTGTATTTCTAATGTCATGTTCTCATACAGGTTCTGTTCTTTAAAGCTACTTCTCCTGTTTTTCTTTACAGGCTCCTTACAGTCCTGGTGCAACAGTCAAACCTCAACGAGATTAATCACCAGGACAATGAGGTGAGCCTGCCCTCACAAGGAATGGTTGGACATTGTGCAGGTTAGAGTAGGAAAAAGGGTTTTCTGAACCACAGAGCTTCCTCTCTTAAAGATGCAAGGAAGGGATGGAGCAGTTTTGTGTTCCTGCCCTGAGAGGGAAGCCTGTGTCTCTATTATTAATTCTCAGGCAGAAATTTATCCCACTGTGGCTGTGGATAGCTTTTAATCGGGTAGGATTTATTGCATTAAGTATTTAAGCATTTATCTACCACTGAGATTTTGTAATTTCCCTTTGGACGTTGGGAAATAAATATTGCTCTTTCCTGTCTTCTCGAGAACCAAAAATTTCGATGGCTGCTGATGCTCATTCTTTGAGTGGAAGACGACAGACAGATAGTAATTCTAGGCTCCCTGCTCCAGAGGCCACACTATTAATGCCAATGATCACAACTGCTGTTGCCTTTACCTTGCAAGGCATGCCTGTGCCAGGTGTCCAAGAAGACAGAGCAACACTCTCAACAAAGTTCCCGAGGGAGGGTGGATCAGACCAGGCAGAGCTGCCCCAGAGCCACTGAGGGGCTTGTATCTATTTAACTCTTTTTAAAAAACCTAGTCTGGTTTTTATTAGCCAGGCTAATTTCTTCAACCAGCTTCTTAAAACAGATTTAAATACCTGATCCTTAATGGAATTTTTTAAATGTAAACTTAACTTGACTTCACTAAGAATGTCAGATAATTTTAAGAAGGCCCGATAGTATTGAAAATGTATATGCCTCAAGATGTAAAATAACTCTGATTTCAAGGAGGCCAACTGGCCAAAGACAGAGTGGGAGGAAGCCCCTAACAGGGGCTGGGCCCCTACTCCATATTTCTCTCGGGCTCACATCTCGTCTTCCTTGAGCCTTTGGATCAAAGGCCTCCTTCCAACTGGCTTGGCATTAATGACCACATCAAAAAGTCCCTACTTCACAGTCTGGCTCTAAGGTCAGACACCTCTCTGACTCGGTGGTCACAAGCTGCTTTCACCTACCCCTCGTCTTCAGTCGTTTAAAGCAAAACCCCATGTGAGAGAATATTGCACTGTTTTAAACTTCTGCTTTAAAAACGAGAACCAGAGATGAGAAAGTGCCCTTTGTGTGAAAGCAGGGAGCCTGGGGACTTGCAGTCTGTGTCAGCTGATTAAGAACTTCTAGACTTTGGGCAACTTGCCAACCACTTCTTACACCTTCACCTTTTTCCTTCACCCCCACCCCACACTGGGACTTATTAAATAAAAGGGGGCAAATTCAGTCATGTACACCCTAAAGTTAAATTTCTCCTACAGACATCCAACTCTGTCCCCAACTCAGTGGAGCCCAACATCCCCTAGCAAAGTGACAGTTCCCTATCTTTCCCCACCCTGGGAGGCCCCTGGCTGGTGGTGAGAATGAAAGCAGTCGGAGATCTTTCTAACAGTGGTAGTTTTAACACTTTTCAGACAATATGTGGTTAATATTAGAAAAGTCTGTAGTTCCTTTTTGTGCAAAGCAACCTCTCAGACAAGACTCCTCTTGGTCTTAACCAGCATTGGACCTATTGGCTTTTTTGAGCAGATGCCTCAACAAGGACCCTTGCCTTCAGTGTCATAGCTTCCTCTTTACACCATATCACAGCATGTCTGAAATCCACCTGAATCCAACTACTAATGCTTGCCTGTGTTTTTCTTTCATATATATGTTGTGTGTGCGTGTTGGTCGCTCAGTCATGTCTGACTGTTTATGGCCCCATGGACTGTAGCCCTCCAGCCTTCTCTGCCCATGGGATTCTCCAGGCAAGAGTACTGGAGTGGGTTGCCACTCCCTTCTCCAGGGGATCTTCCCAACCCAGGGATCAAACGTGGGTCTCCAGCATTGCAGGCAGATTCTTTATTATCTGAGCCACCAGGGAAGCCCATATATATTGCTGGTGTGAGCCCATCCATATAAATTTGCAAGGGCTAATTTGTTCTTTGCCATTGGGAAATAAGGATAGCTCTGAAATGGAAAGAACACAGCCCAGGCTTTCCTTTCCATTTATTACCTTGGTAGAGTTCCTGGATTTGGCTTCTCAGTGTTCTGAATAAGCAATCACCTTTGGCCCTACCCCCACCCCAACCCCATAATCACTTTTCCAATGAGTTCCAAGTACAGTCTCCATTATATATGAAGGAGTAACAGTTAAAACACACACACCCTACATCTGTTAAATAATAGGAAGCAAAACAGCAAGGCAAAAGAAATCAGGGAAAAGGTAAGCTAGTGCTGGCGAAGCATTACGGCTTCCTGATGACAAAAGGGAAGAGCAAGACATATCCCCTACAGAGTTGGAATAAAATTGTTTTCCAAGAATAACTAAAGGGCTCCCAAGCTTGTCACAATGAGGCTTAAAGATTAAATGATCAATTAACAGAAATCTAACTTAATTGAGACAGATTGTTAACTGAAACTAAAGAATGGAGAGAGGGAGAGAAGAAGAAAAAAAAATGTTTTCTGCAGCCATCCTCTAATTGCTCATGTAAAACAAAACATAATATGTACCACTTTATATCAGAGATGACTATCACTCTAGAGGCTATCCTGTTCTGAGCTCAGTAACTTGAAACATTTTTTGTACTATTAGTTTTTACTTGAATAAGTAATACATGAACACATTTGCTTCTTAAAAAGTTAAATACTACAAGTAATACTAGAAGTCCTTGATTACTTCTACCCTACCACCTTAGCCTGCAGGTAATTGTTCTTTTGTGTATATATATATATAGTATGTATATATATACTTTCTCAATCTTTTGTATGTATTACCACATCTTCTTAATCCAGTCATCTATTGATGGGAACTCAGTTGCTTCCGTGTCTTGGCTATTGTAAAAAAATGCTGCTATGAACATTGGGGTGCATGTGTCATTTCAAATAAGTGTTTTCATTGTTCCTGGATATATATACCCAGGAATGGAACTACTGCATCATATGGTAGTTCTATTATTAGTTTTTTAAGGACCCTCCATATTGTTTTCTGTAGTAGCTGCACCAATTTACATTCCCACCAACAGTGTACAAGGGTTCCCTATTTTAATTTTTAGTATGCATGCGTGGTTGTTCTTCAAAACAACTGCATCAATTTATAGCTCCACTCATAGTGTAAAACGTGCTTATCACTGTTTTCCTGTTGTTGGATTTTCTTATTACTGTTTTAATTTGCATTTCCCTAATAACCAGTGAAAATGAGCATAACTTCATAGGTACAGTGCTCATTTTTAGATCTTCTGTGAATTGCCTATTTATTTAGATCCTTTGTCCATTCACCTTTTCTTACATAGTCATAGGAGGTTTTTTTTTTTTTTTTTTGACCACATGACATGGTTTTCAGGATTTTAGTTTCCCGACTAGGGATCAAACCTGTATCCTCTGCAGTGGAAGCACAGAGTCTTAACCTTTGGACTGCCAAGGAAGTTCCCATAGGAGTTTATTTTATATTCTGACCAATCCTTTGTCTGCTATTGAGTTGCAAATGTTTTTTCATAGTCTATTCTTTATTTTAGAACTGTTTGTGATGTCTTTTCCTCTACAGAAATTTTAAAATATGATATAATCAAGATGATCATTCTTGTCCATTATTGTTTTGTTTTAGGTATCCTTTTTAAAGGCCTTTCCTACCCCTAGCGACATAACTACATCATGCTAAATTTTCTTCTAGTTTGTTACAAGATTTTTTTTTTTAATATGTGGTTTCATTTCTGAGTTCTCATTCCAATGATCTATTTGTTTTTCTTGCTTCATTAACCACACTGCTTAATTATAAAGTGACTTGTTTGGAAGCTATCCACACTGCAGGATTTAACACTGTGGGAAAGTCACCATGGGTCAGATGGTCAGATTGTCCTTTGTGTCTTTGTTCTTTGGGACCTCAGGGGATCTCTGACAGAGAGGGGCTTGTCTATTGCAGCCACAGAGAATTAAGTTGCTAAATTCCTGGAATCTAACTCTCCTGCTTTCGTTTTAGCTCTGACAGGAAGAGCACCCCATGAAGAAGGACTATAAAATATTGGCATCTGCATTAGAATTTTGAATGCATTTATCCAGAAAAGCACTGTTATGCATGGTATTTAAAATAGATAGTTGGTCCTATATTAATGTACATTCTGATATAAGTAGATTTTTGTGAGTGGCCTGACAATTCAAACTTCCATTACAACAGCACTCACAGAAAATAAATCCAAGTTGCAAAAACAGACGTGAATCTTTGGATATAATTCTTAGCAGTAAAATCTACTTACAACATTCCCAGGATACAGCACAAGCAGGGACTGTGCATTAAAAAAGGCAAAATCAATAGAAACAGTCCCTGACTTTAGAAATCTTTTTGCTCTACAGCTGGCAGAAGGTAAAATAATAAAGTCAAAAAAATTTAATGCACCAGAATTTGTATTCTAAAAATGAACACCTTAACAAATTGAGTCAGTGCTACTCAGGACTCTCACTTCCCTCTCTCCTCAGACCCTCCTTCACCGTTAGGTCCTAGAGGCAGACCATGTATTTTTTATCTTTATATCCCTAGAATCTAATTCAGTAACTTACACATAGTAGAGTCTCCCTAAAATATATATTTAGATAAAGAATTAACTTATTAAATTCAAGAAAAAGGCATATGATTTTATTTTATTGTCCTTCCCCTCTTTGTTGTGTTGACCCAACCCATGAATGACTCATTTTATTTACCAGATTTGACTCCCTGTGACTTTTAATTATTTCCAAATATACTCTCAAAAAAATAAGATTTTATATCATTTGAGAGCTTCCCCAAAAATGTATTGTAGCTTTTAGGGCAGGAGTCCTTGTCCATTTTCATGACATGGACACATCTGGTATACTGGAGAAGGCTGTGGATCCCTTCTTAGAAAACTGTTTGAAGTTATGTAATATAAAATACATAACATTACAAAAAATTATATTGAAAAACAGATACCAAAATATTTTAAAGAACAAATTTGCAATATTTACATGCAAGCTCTTTTTGCTAATGCCTTACTACCCTTTGTGATCTATAATTGTAAGTTTTTACCCACATAAATTTGAAGAAAATGGCTTTTATTACTGAATTTCTTATCTTGTTTTAGAAGTTCTTTTAGACTCTTTTAAATTATATCCTTTATTCTAGTTTTTTGTACACGGAAGGCCCTCTGTAACTTTTGTGAGCAGTAGTCACAAAATTAATAATATGTGAATATAAAAATGTCAAAGAGAGCCAAACTGGACTTCTGTGAACTTCTAGATCCTTCAAATGACCTAGAATTGTTTTGCTGATCTTGCAAGCACCTGCTAGAATTCTATCCCCCGGTGCACCAAGATGCGGGATGAACCAAAGCACCCAGCCACATCACACGTTTCTCTCTATGCCTTTCAGCATCTGCAAGAGCTGGTCTAAAAGTGCAGTTCTGAAACAGAAAACTACTAAACACTGAATCAGATTTCTGCTTCATAAAGCACAAAAGTTACAGTGGTTTTGGAGAAAAAGAAAAAAGTTCTGAGAAGACAATAGGACTTGAAAGCCCTAACTGAAATGTTGGTGGCACAGGCTCAAGGCACAGAATTACTCATGTGCACCAGAGTGTGTTCCAAAGCCAGCTTGCCATGCACACAACAGCTATCACACACAGCTGTTTCTATCAACAATCTCGAAATGGCTCCTAAGTCAACCAAACTTAACCTCTCCCTCCAAAACTTAACCTCTCCCTCCAAAACTTTCTAGAGAGCTATGTTCTTAAATGAGTGTGAGTTACTCTACACTCAGAGCCAACATACCCTCTTTTTCAAAGAAGTAGAATTCTACTGTCACCAGGACCATCTGGGTGTGTGTTGCAACATATCTTCCAGAGACTCCTAGATTTTTAGCTCTCAGATTCTTTGAAGGCCCAGTTGGGTCCTCAATGAGGGGCATCACAGTTTAGACACAGGTGGCTGGCTCTCATTCAACAGACTCTGGTGTTTTATACTCCCTGTGAATCCAAGGGAACCTGGAAAATCTGTGATTCACTGATTAACTCTTTCTGCAAACATTTCTCAAATACATACCATGTGCTTGGGCATACCACAGTGAATATGCTACAGCTTCTGCCATTAAAGTGCATCACAGCTTAATCTTAATTCTTATCGCAGCTCAGGACGGACGCCAATTGCCAAACTGGAAGTCTGCCCCTTAAATGGCCACCAGTCTTAACATAACACAACTACGATGTGCTAGCGATGTGTTAAAGAAGTTGAAAGAAGGAGGACGCAGTTGTAGGAAACAGTTCCTGAACAAAGTGTGTTGTGCAATACAAAGAGTTGCATTTGAGCTGATTTTGAAAGTTTTGGTTTTCATATTACTAACTCTAAGAGGGTGTATTTTTATTTCTCATTAGCCCAACTGAAAAAAATAGCAACAGGAAATTTCTCTTGACTTGACTGAATGTTTGAAGCCTGTTTGTATTGTAATATAAATATACAACATATCTATATTATATATTATAATGTATTATTATTTAGAGACTAATCGAGTAATTCAAGTCTTGATTTGGGGCCACTCAGAGGATCAACAGTGATTTATAACACTGATCCCAAATTTCAAGGTAGAGGATGGGTGGGAGGGATTATATATATATTTCAATAGCTTACTAAACTAAATATTTGCCAGCTGCACTTTCAGAAGAAAACTAGAAGTGATGCCAAATGAAACAAATAATAATACAGGGTGGCAACCCTTATGCTTGAGAATCACCAGTCTAGAAAGTGAGAAGATCCCAAATCCAGCTAAAATCACAAAGAAAAAAATTTTCCAGTATCTGAACTCATTTCCAAAATGAAATCTTGTAGCTTGATGTGTGGAATAAACAATTTCCTCCAGAGTGGGAGGGACCCCAATTTGAATCCCAACTTGTCTTATACCCAGTCAGTGACCTTAGGGAAATCATTTAACTTGTGTTTCAGTTTCCTCACCTGTAAAATGAGTCTAAAAATACCTATCTCTCAGGATTGTTGTAAAGATTCAATGAAGTGAATGAAGTTCTTGGCACCAAGTAGGTATATGAAAAATAGTAGTGGCCATTCGCACTGTTTATCAAAACATGCATGAGCTGAGGTTTTTTTGTTTTCATTTTTGTTGTTGTTGTTTGGTTTTTCAACAGGGAGTTAAGGAGGAGTGGTGGTTGCTTTAAAAGAAAAACTCCTAAAGCCTAGAAACTGTTTAGGAGACAAGGATTAACAGTGTCCTAACAAGAATTAAATTAATTCACAATTTCATGCTGAATTCTCACCTGGCTAAATCAATCTCTCTGCATATAGTGATTGCCATTTACCTCATTTGGAGGACTCATCAAGAATTTTAACCGGTTTCAACAGGTTTCAACTGAACAGTTGATAACAATGATCATAGCAGACAAGTTCATTTTCTATAAAGAAGTCATGTTCTGTCTTTCTTATGTGAATGGTTTTAGAAAGCAAAGCCAAATTTTACAAAAGCAAAAAATTCCATCCAGAAGCATAAAAAGTCACTCATCCATTTAACAAGCTTTTGCTTAGCATTCACAATGTGACTGGCACTGTTCTAGGTTCCAGGGACTCGGGCGGAAAAAGGCCCTGCCTTCATGAGCTTATACTTCAGTAACTCAGAATTGTCTCTGATGTCTGTAGTCCTGGGGCTGGTGGCACTTCATAATGAAGCCAATGATTCTAAAGCAAATGGTACTCAGCTCTGGGAAAGGGGTAATCACTGCAGAATAAAAAGAATCTGATTCCCTGGAGTCCAGATTTCTAATTCCAGTGGGCCAAATTAAATTAAAGAGGACCCACTGAAATGCTTTGAGCTATTCTGAACCTCAAGTAAATATTCAGCTGCAGGAATAAGAACAAGAAGTTCCACTGTTGTTAGACGGTCATTATTTTCCATATGGAACCAATTTCTTGAAATATCTTCAAGAGTGTCTGGAGGCTCAGTGTTATATGACACTTGAAACTTAAAAGCAGACCATAATTTAATGATTTAGAATGTGGAACTGGTCAAGGGGACTTACATTCTAATCCCACTGCGCCGCAAACCTCAAACCCTAGCTTCAGTTTTGTGCTCAGTCACAGGTTTGAGAACTTCCTTAGAACTCAACTTCCTCCATAAAATGGGAAGGACAGTGACACCTTTCAGAGCTGACCAACTGCTATAGCAAAAACTCAAAACCTCAGTGCCTGACATAATAAAAGCTTTTTCCTGCTTGCTTCATTGTTCATTGCTGGTTGATGAGCTGACCCTGTCCTGTTTCATCAACCAGGGTCCTGGACTTTTTAATCACATGATTCCAGCATCTTCTTGAGACTTATCTTCCCCTCTATTCAGTTGTCAGGTGAGGAAAGAGAAAATATATAAAAGACTACACAGTTTTTATTTTCTAGGCAGGCCTTAGAGGAGTGGGGGCTTCTATTCTTCCGTTCTTTCTACTCACACGGCAATGGTCAGGACTCAATCTCGTGGCCACACCTATCTGCAAGGAAATTGGGGAATGTAGACTCAGTATGTGCCCTGGAGGAAGAGGAAATAGAATTTGGTGAGCACCACAGACTTCACCACAATATTTAATCCAAAAGGTTATTTGAAGGATTGAGATAATATACAGAAGAACTCATAAAGCTCTCTAGATCAATACATATCCATGTATTATCTGTGTGTCTGTCAGTCACTCAGTCATGTCCGACTCTTTCTGACCCCATGGACCTGCCAGGCTCCTCTGTCCATGGGATTCTCCAGGCAAGAATACTGGAGTGGGTTGCCATTCAATTCTCCAGGGAATGTATTATCTGGAATATGATTAATGTGTTATCTGGAATAATAATAGCTCTGCCCTCCTAGCTAGGCTGCAGCCCATCTCCTGCACTCAGCTCATCTTGGATGAGCAGAGAAGGCCAAGGTGGTAACACTGTCTTATATGCAGAGACAATTGTAAAAAGAGAAAGTTGTCCACTTCCTTCACTCCCTTTACCAGGCATCTTAATCTAGAATCATTTTAGATATATTTCATGTAATTGTGAGCTATATGCAAGGAGAAGAGGCCATCTTTTCATAGTCCACTCTCAAATACTACTGGTTCTTTTTGGCAAATGTTTACCAGCAGAAGTTCATTTTATTATGAAACCGTACCTAACATGTGACCTTAAGCTAGGAGAGAAGGTGGAATTCACCAGACTGGCTCATCCAGATCTGATTTCCATGCTGCCACCAAGTGATCTCTTCTAAACAGTGTAAATCAGGTCATGTCAACACCTGCTTAAAATCCTTCACTGTCTTTCTACTGACTTCAGAATAAAATCCAAATGCCTTATACAGGGTATTCCCCATCCCACTCTCCAAGGATCAGCCCTGCCTCTTTTTCCAACTGCATCTGGCATGGCTCTCCTCCTCTCCCTCTTCATTCATTCATTCAGTCATTCAACTATTTTTCATCTAGCCTGGGTCAGTCTCTGGGGATACTTTAGTAAAGAGACAGCGCTCTGGTCTGGTGGTGGGAGATGGCATCCCAGCATACTCTGATCACAAGTGTCTGCCTCTGTGACTTGTTGCTCGCTGGTCTCTACCTTCAGGTTACCTCGGCTCCCAGAGGCCCATGTAGAACAGTCCCTACCTCCAGGGTGGTTACACTGTCCTGGCACCCCAGGTGCATTCTTTTTAGCATTCAACAGTCCTGAAAATCCTTTGGCTTGCTTGTGTGCATTTATTATCTTCCTCTACCACAGTGGAGTTCCCACGAGGACATGGATCTCTTTGATCTTATTCCCTATCGTATCCTTGACATCTGTTTGCCTGGCATCAGGTAGGAAGCCAAGGAGTAACCATTGAATGAATGATTCAAGGAACAAGTGAACTGACAGTCAGCAGCCAACGCATCTGGTGATGCCTTCGGGCCTGGGGAGAAAGTGTGTAGAGAGTGGACTCTCCTTCCTAATAGCCTGTGCTCATCTCGGTCCCTCTGACTGTGGTTTTGCAGGGGATGACAGCACTCCACTGGGCAGCTTTCCACAACCGGCCTCAACACACCCAAATGCTGCTGAAGAAGGGGGCAGACCCCACCCTTGTGGACAAAGACTTCAAAACAGCTCTCCACTGGGCAGTCCAGGTGAGAAATTAGCCAGTGCGCTTGTCTCAAGTGTAAATGGTGTGAAGCAGTGTTAACAGTTCTGAGCAAGTCAGACCTGTAAGGCACAGTCCCAGCATTGATGTGGGCTTTATATACATGATGGGACTTCCCTTGAGGCTCAGCTGGTAAAGGATCTACCTGCAATGCGGGAGACCTGGGTGTGATCCCTGGGTTGGGAAGATCCCCTGGAGAAAGGAAAGGCTACCCACTCCAGTATTCTGGCCTGGAGAATTCCATGGACTATATCGTCCATGGGGTTGCAATGAGTTGGACACGACTGAGTGACTTTCATTTCACTTCACTTATATGTATGACAGAGCAAGCAAGATATATGCATGCTGCCCTCCTCCCTCCATCCATACCCAGAGGGGCAACAGCAGACATCAC